CCTCAGTGGACCACTATTGTCAAGACAATACCCGACCCTGTCGGAGAGAAGAGAAAAAGATTTGCCCAAGAGCAAGAGAGTGCTAGGAAGGATGTCGAGCATGCCTTTGGTGTTTTACAATCTCGATGGGGCATCGTTCGGTATCCTACTAATACCTGGAGCACGCAGAAACTATGGGAGGTGATGACTGCTTTTGTGATCATGCACAATATGATCGTAGAAGACGAGCGTCCGGAACATCTGTGCGATCAAGGGTTTCAGTTTCAGGGTGAGAATGTTGTGCCTGAGCATGAAGTAGCGGCAACATTTGAACAGTTCACCCAATTTCATGAAGACATGCGTGATTGAGAAACTCACGTGCAACTGCAAAATGATTTGGTTGAGCATACGTGGACTCATGTTGGTAACCAATAGATGTATCTATTTTTATTCGTTTGCAAAACTATGTGAAACATTTTTATTTGTATCTGGCTTGTAAAACCATACTATTTTATTCGATAAAACTATGTTATTTGAAAATATATTTGAATGCAAATCAATGTAATATTGGGCGGACAGCCGGCCACGCAGACACATATAGATCGGCCCGTTGGGCGCGCTGCTGACCCAAATCTAAAAGAGAACATATGTCGAGCGGACGACCGATCCAAATAAATAAAATACGAATGAAATCGCCGACCGTTTGAATCGGCCCGTTCGAGTTGCTCTTAGCTTACCAGGCAAAGCACCCCACGGACGCAAGCTAGTAGAAATACATCGCTGGCCTAGTGTTTATTTGTGTTCTGTTAAGCGAGTTGTCGCACTGTGCCGCGGCTTCTCGTCGCTGTGTCCCCTTGACCGGCATGGTTGAGCATAATGCGGCCACGTAGAAAGGATAGTTATGTCTTAGGATGTGTTGGGAGGCTCTCCAACTCCACGCTTCACAAATTTCTGAAGTGGAGCTGAACCGAACGAGTTTGGGCCAAGAAGCTAGAAGCGAGAAGCCTGGCCAGCCACTAGTGTAAAAACGTGAAGCATCAAAAGTTCAGCTCCATCGATTGAAAGAGGAGAAGTTCGCTCAAATTGCGTACAACTGCCACCACCAAGTGAGGGCAGATGGAACCGGTACGCTCGCTGGAACATATCGCTCGATGGAATCGACACCCTGTGCTCCTTCTCTCGCTGGAAAGCCAAGCTGGGCTGCCTCTAACCAGCCCATTATGATGCTAAGGCGGGCCACCCATGCTGCCAGCCCATAGTAGTGATGGGAGAAGCTAGCGATCCCAGCCGAACGGAGTTGTCTCGCTGTGTGGAGTGAGAAGTTGAGATGGAAAGCTAGAATCATGAAGTTGGGAGGAGATTAAAACAGGCCCTTAGTCCAAATAAAAAGGCCGGGTTTTGGGTTTCCCTAGCCTACCAAATAACGACATGGAAAACTATCATCATTATCTGTCATTTATAAATGTACAACAATGAGGAAAAATATCCTTAAAATTGCTTTTGGTTTTTCAATATTTTTCAAATACTTGTTTAACACTTTAATACTTATTCAACATTGTTCAAATACTTGTTCATCATTTTCTAATACGTATTCAACAATTTTCAAATACCTAGTCAACATTTTTAATACTTATTCACTATTAAAACATCCCGAAGAGGCGATGCAAACCAATAAAGACAATGATATACACAAAGAAAAATGAAAAAAGAATTCCAGAGAAGAAAGAGAAAAGAAAAAGGAAAGAAAAAGAAAATGGAAAAAAGGAGAAAACCAAATACAATAGTAGAAAAAGAAACAAAATAAAAACAATTAAAACAAAGAAAGAAACAGAAAAAAAACTTGTGAAAAAAGGAAGAAAAAAAATAAAAAACAAGGATAAAACAATGCAAAACTGGCTCTATTAACCTTAACTAGTTCGTGCCCTACACGAAGCCGAAGCTGGCCCAGTGTTTAGGAGAGTGGAAGCTCAGCCAGGATACCCGGGTTTGAATCCTGGTTTCGCCATTTTTTTTCTTCTTTCTTTCTTTTAAACATTCGCTAAGAGGCCGACCCAATAGCTAGAACGTGGATACATTCTCTTCAGCGAGACGTAAAGTTTCTTTTTGAAAGATCCAACGTCGATGGCCTTCATTGATAATAGCAGGAAGCAAACGGAAAACAACCTGATGGTAAAGGTCCTAAGACCGGAAGATCTGAAGATCAAAAGAAAAAGAAAACCATCAGCCCTAATAGCTGCAGCACAACACTCCATACAATCCATCCTGAACAACCTAGCTCCAAGTCCGACGGTGAAAACTAGACAGGTCACGAAGGATCACCGAACGAGCCATCTGTCTCGCGTCATCGTATACCATCGGCCCCACCGCAGCTTTGACTTCACATCAACAGACAGTCGAGGCACTCACATGGACGCGCCGGAGAAGAAGAAACGACTACCACGACCAAGGCCACGCCTTCGACATTGCTCACCGCCGTCATCATTGCCACCGAAGCCACCGTGCACGTCCAGTCGTAGGAAACACCAAAGGGATCAAAGTCTTCAAGACATCGCCCTAAAGAGGGGAACAACGTTGAAGACGATGCCACCGTCCGACCCTGCAGCAGGATTTGAGTTTTCACATAAGGACTTGATCTGGGAGCAGGGTCGTGAGATTTCCGACGACGCCTCCAAGGAGGATAGCGACGCCCACAGGCACCATCGCCGCCGGCCGGCTAGCATCGGTCAGGCTTTCACCCGGAGCAGCCACTCCCACGCAGTAGACCGAGGTCGACCTGTACCTCCATAAAACCATGCACCCCCACACAGCGAGCACGCCACCGTTGTGCAGGGCCACCAGCAAGCCTCCATGACGGCAGGCCAGCAGAGACCAGATCGGGTCCTGCGCCCCGCATCCAACCGCGGCCGGAGACTCCGTGCTCCAACAGGCGGCAACCGGGCACCACCACCAGCCATCAGTGCCCCTCTCAGGCCAGCAGACACAGACGGCCTAGCAGATCCAACCCTCTCCCCCCCCCCCGGCGCACTTGGCTGCCCCCTCATGCCCCTGCACGCCCACGCTTGTCGCAGCCCTCGCATGCTGCCTCGCTCCCTCCAGCGTTGGATCCCGTGCACCGGAGCCGTCGCCGCGAAATCGAGGCCCCTGGCCCGAAGCCACCCTCCTCGGAGCCGCCAGATTTGCGGCCTCCCAGACTCAGCCATGTTGCGCCGCCCTACACGCACCTCCCCGTGCTCGAATACGGTCGCCCCTGCCCGTGCGCGCACCGGCGTGGAAGCAGTGCCCTGGATCGCGTCGAGATGAGCAGCCCGTGCTGCCGGAGCTCAGACGGGAGGAGGAAGTGCCCCGTCGCCGCCGATCTGTGCGGATTTTGCCCGGCAAAGTCTGCCGGCGGCAGCAAGGGGAAGATGGCCGGTGGATCTGCGCTGGCAGCGGCTAGGTTTTCGCACCCTGGCCGCCCGCAGGAGCGGCCCGAGGAACGGCTGTCGCGGAAAGTTGCACTCGCGTAAGGTGATATATAGTCGCCGTGCTCCATGCCTACTGTCAGCTTCCTTCCTCTGGTCGGCCATGGATGCCACCTCCTGAGTCGAAGGTCCATGGAGCCGTCGCCGCCTGAGCTGGTGCATGGGGTGGCGCCTCAGTACAACAGGTGAAAGATGAGAAGGCTACGTCTAAAGAACAGAATAGATGTACGAGGGTTTTCGAGCAAAATAACAATGTTATGTGTCAACGTAGGAGCGAATTGTACAAGATACGAACCTGTGAGTCAAGTTCATGTACCACCGGTGCATTTATTTTAGAAAAGAAGAATGACCCCTGGCCTCTGTATTTAGGTAATGCATACGGCCACTTTATTAATTATTCTCACAAGACCTTATAAAATCATACAAAAATAAGACTAAAATCACCGTTTAAGCAACAACTGTCGCTACATCTGTCCAATTGATGAAGGGGCACAGATAGTGTGGGCCTAATACCAAATAGACATCACAACCAAACCTAAACATTCAAGACCGGAGGTCCCAACCAGGACGCCTGCCGGGTATGGGGCACCTACTAGTCCGACGCACTCCTCAACCAGGACGCCTGTCGAGTATGAGGCCGCCACAACCACTTGCTATCAATCCATCTTCAGAGTTGTACTGTTGCATGTACCGTGCTAGGTCTCTCTGCCATCGACGCCACGACGACACCCGACAGCGTCGTCCTCCTGCGCGAGTCCATCCTCCCACAGCGAACTCCGAATCTGCACTGCGCCACACCGTCAAGATCCGTCGCCATCAGTGTGTAGGATGAAGCACCGCTCCATCAAAGAATCCGTCCTCTAGTCCCTCGATCACGTGTGTATCTCCAATAATGACGCCCCAAGGGAGGAACGACACCCGAGCGCCGCCGTCATCTGATCATCCGATCTAGGGTTTCCACCGGTGCATGTTTTTCAAGTTTTTGTATTAATTTGTTCTCAGCGGACAAGTTTTTCTATCTGAGACGCAATTATCTCGTAAAAGGATTATCACAATTATTTGTTATTACTGCTAGAAACATAAGAAAATTGTTTATATGCAAAATAAAGGTCGAAGATACAACTTTGCAAATGTATCGACGCCCATCCCAAACAAGTGAAAAATGTGTACATGGGATAAAAATAAAATACTTAGTACTTTCGATGCAATAGGGATGACGTCCTCGCATTTGTGAGGTCCACCCTATTAGTTTTGCAAAACGAAGATATTGTAATCTATAGAAAATGTGAGAAAACAAATAGCTTGATCACAGTAGTTTCTTATGTCCGCGTAATAAATCTGAACGAGACTGCTCCCGCAGCTTGATGTGAAAAACATGGTTTACACTAATGTGCAACATGAATAATATTCTATGAAGTAGTTGAGAAGTGGGCTTGGAAGGTCTTGTACGTCGTATAAAGTACAGCATTCGCCCTTTTATAAATGTGCCCCACCCTTAGTTGCCTGCTTCTATCTGTATCGATCACCTCTGCATTCACATAGACTACACCACCAAACAACATGAGTTCGCGGTTTTCTGTCAAGCACTTCAGAATGATATACAATCGTTCAGCCAACACCCACGTCCCTCGAACTGTGACCACAATGGCACTTGCAGCAGGTGTCCTGAAAATAGTTGCACCTCAACCCGGTGCTATTTATCCCATCCACCTACTTCTTGCCATCGTTGTACTGACCATCACCACAACCATCTACCTTGCACTCTGTCGTAAAACTGTATACCTTGTTGACTACGCTTGCTTCCGGCCAAGTTTCAACCTAAGATGCCCAAAGGCAACCTTCCTCGAGCATGCACATCTCTCGTCTTTGCTTGATGATTCTACTGTCAACTTCATAGGAACAGTTCTCAAGCGCTCAGAAATGAGCGATGAGACATATGTCCCGCCTGTGCTTCACTATATAGAGCCATATTGTGGGCTTTACGACGCACGTGCCGAAGCAGAGTCAATTGTCTTCTCGGTGATCGATGATCTTTTGGCCAAAACATGCATCAATCGTGACGCGATCGGTGTTCTTATCACCACCTCAAGTATATTTTGTCCGATACCATCCATTGCTGACATGATTGTCAATAGATACAAGTTGCGAGGTGATCTTCGCGTAATGAACCTCTCAGGGATGGCGTGCTCTGCTTCAGTGACCGCAGTGGGGCTTGCAAGCAATATGTTGCAGGTCATGCCTTGGGGGTCGCATGCATTGATAGTGTCAACAGAGACCACTGGGCCAGGCCATTATCAAGGGAATACACGCTCCATGCAGTTGCCTAATATCTTATTCCGCATAGGTGGAGTGGCGAAGTTGTTGTCGACTTCTAGGTCGAAGGCTCGGTTTCAGCTTGCACATGTCACGCGGATAATCACTGCGGCAAACAACTCCGCATACCGATGTGCATACCAGGAGGAAGATGAGAAGGGCATCCTAGGGACACGTCTCACTAAAGACCTTATGGTTGTCGCTGGAGATGCACTCAAGGACAATCTCACTGCAAGCGGGCCACTTGTATTGCCGACAGCAGAGCTTCTCAAGTTTTTCTTTTTTGACATTGTTGGAAAGGTGCTCTACTGGAGGAAGATCAGACCATACATCCCCAACTTCTGTGTTGCATTTGAACATATATGCATCCACGTAGGTGGACCGGCGGTTATCAGCTCAATACAGCGCGGCCTCAATCTATCAGACAAGCACGTTGAACCGTCACGAATGACATTGTATCGCTTTGGAAACCAGTCGGCCGCATCAGTGTGGTATGAGTTGGCATACATCGACGCTAAAGGCCTAATGAAGAAAGGCGATAGGGTGTGGATGATCGGATTTGGTGCAGGGTACGAGTGCAACACCGCTACTTGGGTGTGTATACAACCATCTTCCTGCGCGGATGGACCCTGGGTTGACTGCATCAATTGCTACCCTGTGGATATCTCTAGAAAAGGTTAAAATAAAAGGATTTTAAGTGTCATTTACTATCAGTGGAATGAGTAGTGCGATAAATAACAGGCACATCACTCTCACACACAATAATGAAGAGGTGGGGGATCCCATTAGCGGGTGTATGAAACTTAGTCACATATATAAAGATGCGGGCTTGTTAAAATAAGTAATAAACCTCTGCTTTCTTTGTGGTTGTCTAGATGATCATGTTATGAGTTGAGAGACGACACTCCAAATAGTGATTTCCATACCAGCTCGTTTGGCACCTAGCTTTTCATTTCATTGGTGGAAATGAAGTGAAAACACAATCCTGAGAGGATTTCGTTTGGTGGGATTTGGATTCCATACCCAATTTTCTTGTTTGGCTGACATATGGATTTATGAAATGAAATGAAATGAATGTCATGTGTTGTATGGCTGCTTTGAATTATAATCAGAAATAGTAAAAGTGTAGAACTCCAACTATACATTGAAAGCATTATAATCTAACAAAGCTAATAGACCCCCAAAAAATAATGCACTTCTTTCCTGCTTAAGATAATAATTAACTCATACAAGGATGGGTCAGGTCTAGGGTCTAGAAGGCACAAAGGCATCATAATTCACTCATACAAACATGGCTTAGATATAGAAGGCACAAAGGCAACATAATTGACTCATAACCAACAAAATTCAAGGTTCAAATCTTGTATTAAGCAAGGTCTGGAAGACAAAAGAATAGAACTTGCCATCATAACCTTTAAGACCATAAATATTAAAATTTTGCATCAAGACTTATTTCTTTTCGTTCCATTTGCTAAGGCTTGAAAAGGCATGAACTCGTGGCATGTTTATTGTCCTGCAAATTGTTGGGGATCGTAGCAGAAATTTAAAATTTTCTACGCATCACCAAGATCAATCTATGGAGTAATCTAGCAATGAGGGGAAGGAGAGTGCATCTACATACCCTTGTAGATCGCTAAGCGGAAGCGTTCAAGTGAACGGGGTTGATGGAGTCGTACTCGTCGTGATCCAAATCACCGATGATCCTAGCGCCGAACGGACGGCACCTCCGCGTTCAACACACATACGGAACGGAGACGTCTCCCACGCCTTGATCCAGCAAGGAGGAAGGAGAGGTTGAGGAAGAGAGTCCAACAGCAGCACGACGGCGTGGTGGTGATGGAGTGGCAGTTCTCCGGCAGGGCTTCGCCAAGCTCACGCGGAGGAGGAGAGGTTTTGGAGGGGAGGGGCTGCGCCAGGTTCAAGGGTGTGGCCGCCCTCCCACCCCTCCACTATTTATAGGTGGGGAGAGAGGGGGCCAGCCCCCCTATATCCCATCTAGGGTTGGGGGCGGCGTCCAAAGGGGGGAGGAGTGCCTCCCAAGTCAAGTGGAGGCCCTCCCCCTTAGTGTTTCCCCTCTCCCATGTGCATGGGCCTTGGGGGGGCTGGTTCCCTTGGCCCATTAAGGTTAGGGCGCCCCCCTACAGCCCATGCTGCTGTATTGGACGTGATGGAGCATTTTCCGGACCTCCGGATCCCTCCGGAATCCTCCGGAACCTTCCGGAAGCTTCCCGGTACAATACCGGAAAAAACCGAACTTTTCCCGAAACCCGAACAACAACTTTCCATATATAAATCTTTACCTCCGGACCAATCCGGAACTCCTCGTGACGTCCGGGATCTCATCCAGGACTCCGAACAACATTCGGTAATCACATACAAGTCTTCCTAATAACCCTAGCGTCATCGAATCTTAAGTGTGTAGACCCTACGGGTTCGGGAACCATGCAGACATGACCGAGACAACTCTCCGGCCAATAACCAACAGCGCGATCTGGATACCCATGTTGGCTCCCACATGTTCCACGATGATCTCATCGGATGAACCACGATGTCGAGGATTCAATCAATCCCGTATTCAATTCCCTTTGTCCAGCGGTATTGTACTTGCCCGAGATTCGATCGTCGGTATCCCGATACCTTGTTCAATCTCATTACCGGCAAGTCTCTTTACTTGTTCCGTAACATATCATCCCGTGATCAACTCCTTGGTCACATTGTGCACATTATGATGATGTCCTACCGAGTGGGTCCAGAGAAACCTCTCCGTTTACACGGAGTGACAAATCTCAGTCTCGATTCGTGCCAAACCAACAGACACTTTCGGAGATACCTGTAGTGTACCTTTATAACCACCCAGTTACGTTGTGACGCTTGGCACGCCCAAAGCACTCCTACGGTATCCGGGAGTTGCACAATCTCATGGTCTAAGGAAATGATACTTGACATTAGAAAAGATTTAGCAAACGAACTACACGATCTTGTGCTTAGCTTAGGATTGGGTCTTGTCCATCACATCATTCTCCTAATGATGGGATCCCGTTATCAACGACATCGAATGTCCATGGTCAGGAAACCGTAACCATCTATTGATCAACGAGCTAGTCAACTAGAGGCTTACTAGGGACATGGTGTTGTCTATGTATCCACACATGTATCTGAGTTTCCTATCAATACAATTCTAGCATGGATAATAAAAGATTATCATGAATAATGAAATATAATAATAATAACTAATTTATTATTGCCTCTAGGGCATATTTCCAACACAAATTTGATCATGTGTGTAAGAAAACTGGCTAATGTAGTTATTAAACGTGAAGTTGGCAAACAACAAACGTCGGACCAATATTTTAGTTCCATCTTGTAAAAACATGGTAATATTGATCACTACTACTTTGCTATAAAAAGCACGACTACAACAATTGAAGTTGCACTATTTTCTATGAGCTATAATGTCTGTATATAAAGAGATGGCTATTTATATACTTATCAGAAGAAAGCCAGCTTTGTTGCAGCTTATAGTAATTATTACAAGGCAGTAGTAACTATCTAAGGAAATTCCAAGCCAAACCGTTCCGCTTAGTTTTGAAAAGTCTCCCTGAGACCCCACTTTAGATTACATATCTTTGGAAATTTGAAGTAAGAGTGCTGCTTACCTATTGGGAAAAATATAGATAGTGGTAGTCCAATAAGAATGTCCCTGTTCTTAACAAAGGAAAAAAAATCAGCATATAGGTAAGCAGCACTCTTACTTCAAATTTCTGTGAGCAGTAAACATGAACAGTGCATGAACAGTAACAGTGCATGAACAGTAAACATTTTTACATACCTCAATTTTGTCTTTTTTCTGTGAGCTGCTCAGATGTCCAAATGGGTTGAAATTTGAAGCGGACCTCACGCATCAAATTATCTACCACCCAAAAAAATGTGGAATTTTTTGAATTTTTCTAGCATTTGTTTTGAATTTTTTTCTGAGAGGGGGTGCAGATGAGCCCGGATGCAGAAACTCCGCGTCCGTACTGTATATATAATACACACGTGTACAGTTCCACAAAAAAAAACGCGTGTACAGGGGAGTATATTCTTTTGCAGAGGCTAGCTCAAATTCATGCGTCCGTACAAAAGAAAAAAGAGGCTAGCTCAAATTGGCGTACAGCGCGCGCAGAATTGGTTGTATCAGGCGCGTATCCAGCCCGCCAGTTTTTTAGGCGAGCGCGCGCGGAATTGGTTGTACACGCGGGAAAGTTCCCCCTGTACACGCGCGAAGGCAGTTTTCCCCCAAATCCCTCCCCTATAGACGCACGAGCTTCCTCCTAAATCCCACCCCAGTGCCGAGAGCGCCACCAAATTAACACCAAAACCACGACGGCGCAGCTCATCCATCGCCTTGCCGCCCGCGCCCTCCTCAAGCCATCGCCATTGTAGGCGGCGGCGGCCGCCGCCGCTGCAGACTTGGGCTCCCGCGGTTGCCGCTGCAGAGGCAGCCGCCGCCGGCGGTGGCCGTGTGGGCCTTGACCACCCGGCCACCCTCGGTAGCTTCGGATGCACCGGAGGTCTCCGCCACTGCGATGCTCGCCCGACCCTGCCGCCCTCGATGGATCCTAGTTAGCCTGCCGCCCTCGGTGGATCCTACCCTGCCGCCCACGACTGAGACCAACCTGCCGAAGCTGTAGACGTGTGCTTCAACTTCAGAAATCAGAACCAAGGCTTAATTAGGTGAGCTCACATGGCCATGTTCCATCACATTTCTAATCAGATTTCATTAGTTAATTAAGGGAAGTGAACCTACTGGTAGATCTAAAAATAGGCTAACTTGCGAGCATGTGCAGAGTACTTCGATCTGAAATGTGCTTGACATAATTCTGGAAAACTTTTTCTTTAACCTTGTCTAATACAGAATCAGAAGATGGAGTGGACTTGCAATTATCTCATAAGCGATTGATGATTTCTAATAGTTTTCTTCTGTCTGAGGTGACATTTTCCTCCATGTATTTTTAAATCTGGACATTGTTGATTTTCTGGTTGTTTCCCTTCGTGTTGAACTTACAATTGTATCTCTGGTGGTTATATTTATCTCTAGTTATTTTATGACTTTATGCACATATATTCTGCTGCTATACTGAACCCTACTCAGAAATGTGTAATTTTAGTTGTGTGTTTTTGTCATAGATTTAAATCGCGGGCGAACGGAATCGCGGAAGGGAAATTTGCCGCGATAATTAATGAAGAAACAGCGCGATCTCCGGCGATTGCGGCGCGATCTCCCGTGATTCTGGTAAGGAAACAAATCGCGGGGCTGATTTCATGCAGGGATAGCGCCGCGATAGCGGTCTTTTTGCCCGCGATTTGAAACTATGGTTTTTGTGGACCTTACTAATGCATCTGAATTCAATTTTACAGGATGACGAGTGGCTTCCACCCCCCAAATTCTTAAGAGGTTTTGCAGAACTTCTACTGCGCCTATTGCAAATGAGTCTAAACGTCCATTGATTAGACCTGATGGGCACATGTGAGTTATCATTTAATCCACGCATTACTGTTTAGCACACCTTGAGGTATTTGACATATTACACTATGAGATACCTTGGGGTGTAGTGTTTAACTTATATCTATTTTCTTGCGCTAGGCACTGGTTAGAATTACATACATTGAGGAAAAAATGTGAGAAAGCCAAATGGTGT